CTTTTACACGCGCATAGCCATCAGGAACTTCTTTCACAGGTTTTTCTTCAAAAATAACATTAGAACCTTCTTGAGATTGATGAAACACGAGTGCCCTCATGATGACAATGGTAATGTAGTAATGTATTGGGGCATATATTTTTTAGCTAAAGAAAATTCTTATTTTACGAAATAATGAGCCTAGAAAAAAGCTGTTTTTAAAGCCATTTATCACTTCAACAAAGATCGTTGATGATTAATTGTACTGTTTGCTCAGCCATTCGTATTAAATAAAAATCGGTGATGGTGCTGTAACTAGGGATTATATAAAAAAAAAAAACTTTTCGCGTTTTAAACATGTGATGATTATTATAGAAATACATTAAATTTAGGATTCTAAATTTCTATAAACGTCACATATTCTAATGGGAGTTAGAAGTTGGTCACTTAATCACAATTAAGTGTTTAATTTAAAGATGGCGTTATGATGTAATAATTTGATAAAGAACCGTAATATATTTATATTAAAATTCGAAGGAAATAAAAGCATTATGGCACAGTAAAACGTATAAAGTGTTCTGTGATCACTCGACAGTCATTTCACGAATAATTATATTATTTGAAAATTATCACGCTATGTAGTCTGACTATTTGTTAGTCATGACTACCTTCATTATAATTTCTCGCATGTCCGGAAATCTTCTGTGGAAAGCAGGAACACGGAAATTTTTCGAAAGAAAATTTTTTGAAAGAAATCGAAATTTTTTGAAATTTGGCAAATTAACCAATAGGAAATCACGATATGGTATAACGTAACATGATAAAAATAAACGAATGTCCGTTTTGAATTTAAAGAATTTTAATGATGTATATAACTACATTAACCAGATTCACTTCCAAAGTCTAGTTTAAATATACTTTTGATACAATTTTGCTACTATTCATCGAAGTGAAAATATAAACTTCTAATTTTGAATATAGAGTTTTGCTTTTCGGAAAAAATTTAAAATCAATAACGTAATTTTTTTAAAAGTATGTTAAAGAAGTTATATTATATGAAAAGTTTAATAAGGGGTAAATCTCTGTTTCCTTAAGAGAACTTTACATTTACCACTAACGTTAATTGTACTATCTTTTGTAATAGATAATTTGGAACCTATTGCTAAGTTTTCAATAATGATTTCATCATATAAATCCATACTATTATTATTTCTATTTTTAAAATAAAATTCTAATCGTTTGATTAATTCAATCAAAGTATTTTCTGAACATAATATGATATTTTTTACTGAAGAGTTTCTAACTCGGTTAATTGCCTTTTCAGAATATCCTACATTTGAAACAAAAAACCCAAATCTATTAGGCTGATCAACCATAGTACCAATAAATTTTTCAACATCTTCTACAGATACAAATTCGCTTGATGATTTCCATTTTCCTTGAATAGTATATTCGAAACCATTAAAGTTACTGTGAAAATTCTCATTTCCATTATTTATGTTAATCCATTCTCCATTCACATAAAATTGCGTTTTACTAAAATAGCTTAAAGTGTTGTTTTTTGCAAGATGAGCATAAAGCATATATTCATATTGTGATTCCTTTTGAATATCCGTTAACTGTATAAAAAAAAATAATAATAATAATAATGAAAACACAATATCTCATAGTGTTTAACCAATACCACTCATGAAACCATTATCACAATATATCAGGATATTAACTATTCAACTAGAGCGTTATCCTGGAACCATTACCAGGTCTCTAGCCAGCGTAACTTTATTAATATAACACTCAATAATATGTTCAGTAAGAATGCTTACCTTATAAAAATTGGAAAAATCGAAAATAGATTTACTGGACTTGCAAAAATGAAGATCATTATAATATCTTTCATTTATTTCAAATAAACCGTTTTTACAAATAAGGATATCATATTCAAAAGAAGGATTATTGATATCAAAAATAGATGTGATTTCAACAGAAGAACTTAATTGTTTAGACATTTTGAATAAAAAAAATATAAGAAACAAATCTCTTTTTATTAAATATCTGTATGATATCAAATTAATTGGTTGTTTACGCATTATATTTATTTTTGTCAGAAAACTGATGGTAAATTGCCAAATATAGAAATGCAACAGCTTGTGTAACTTATTTCGATGGTCATTTCAGGGGTAGCTAAAGCCATATTCAGTTAGAGTTACATTTTTGATATAATTATAAATATAAATTTATAAAAATATCAAAATACGATTTATACAATATGTAGATCAATACATAATTAGACAGAGTACTATCAAGTAAAGTTAAACAAACACTAGGTAGAAGTATTTCAAGTACTCTATATATATATGTATCTGACCTTACATTTTCTTTATCTTCTCAATCTTCATCTCTTACTTTAGCTAGCAACAAATTAATACTTTGGTATCCTTTATAGATCAAATACCAAACAAGTTTAATATATATAATTACTAATTCTAAATCTAGGTAAGCTATAGTCACCCTAGTTGATTTAGGTTGCAGATAAACTAGTCTGAGTTTCTTTTCTTGTTATCTTAGAATATGGAGTTTAAATGCATTCTTTTCATTGTAAGAGAATCAAATTAAATTTCAATAAAGATAAAGACATGGTCTTACCATTAACATTTAAAAAAAAAAAATATATATATATATATCTAATATGAAAAATAATATATATAATGTTTAATGCTATACATTTTTAATTAGAAGATGATAGCTAGTTAGCATAGTAAA